GAAATTCCTAGGTGATGGATAGAGTGCCAATTAAGTGGTCTGCTTTGTGCTGGATGGTACCAAGTTGTTTAGTGTTGTTACTGCTGCACTCGTCCAGGCAGTTGAAGACTATACCAAAACACTTTGATTTGTGCTTTGTAGATGGTGAATGAGGGATGAGTTATTCATCATGGAATTCTGAGCCTTTCATGGGCACTTGTCACCATTGTATCTATATGGCTTTTCCAGTTCAATTCCTGCTCAATGATAGGATGTTGAAAGTGCATGCTACAGCAATCATAAGGTTATTGAATATCAAGAGTTAATGGTTAGATTCTGTCTTGTTGGAGATGGTCATTTTCTGGCACTTGTGTAACACAATGGTTATTTGCCATTTACAACCCAAGCTTGGATGGTGTCCAGGTCGAACTGCAGATGGACACAGATTGCATCAGTATCTGAGGTGTCATGAATGGTGCTGAATATTGTTAGCGAACTTCTGACCTTATGATGGAGGGAAGGTCAATGATAAAGCAGCTGAAAATAATTGGGCCTAGTACTTTACTGATGATGGAGAGTAGTCTGACAAGGTGGTATAAGGCTGAATTGTACTTAACCTGCTTTTTGTGCACAGAACATACTTAGATGGTTTTCCACATTATTGGGGAGATGCTGAACTGGAACACTTTCAGCTGAACTGAAACAATTTGTCTAGAGATTTGGTTAGCTCTGGACCACATATGTTCAATGCTATTACTAGAATGTTGCCTGGGTCCACTGTCTTCAGTGTATCCAGAGCCATCAGCAATTTCTAAATATCTTGTGTAGGGAATGAAATTTGTTCAAGACTAGCATCTGTGATGCTAGTGCCCTCAGAAGGAGGCCGAGATAAATCACCCACCCAGCACTTCTGGCTGAAAATGAGTGCAATTACTTCAGCTTTTTTTTTGCACTGATGTGCTGAGCTCTCCCATCGTTGAGATTGGGATATTTGTGATATCCATCTCCTGTTAGTTGCTTAATTATCCACCACCATTCACAATCGCAAGTGGCAGGACTGCAGAGTTTATACCTCATCCATTGGCCGTGGAATCGCTTAGCCCTGGTTATCACTTGCTGCTTCCGCTGTTGGCAAGCATTGTATTGCAGCTTCACCAGGTTGACATCTCCTTTTTATGTATGCCTGGTGCAGCTCTTACTATACCATCCTGACCCTTCTATGAACCACAATTGATCTCTATGCTTGATGGTAATGGTAGAGTGGGTGCATACCAGGCCATCAAGTTACAGATTGTGGATGAGCACAAGTCTTCTGTACCTGATGGCCCACAGCCCCTCATAGATGCCCAGTTTTGAGTTGTTAGATCTGTTCAAAGTCTACCAAATTTTAGCATTGTGATTGTGTCACAAGACACAATATATTCTCAATGTGAAGACAGGACTTTATCGGCACAAGGATCAGTCCTACTGATATTGTCAAAGACAGATACATCTGTGACAGGTAGATTGGTGAGGATGAGGTCCAGTATGCTTTTCTCTCTTGTTGGTTCACTCACCACCCGCTGTAGACCAACTCGCTATTGGTAGCAATGCTGGCAAGCCACTCTTGGTGATGGACATTGAAGTCCCCACCCAAAGTCATTGTCTGACCTTGCCACCTTCAGTGCTTCCCCCAAGTAGCGTTCAACATGGAGGTGCACTGATCATCGGCAGAGGGTCAGGAGTGGGGAGCACTAGTTACTAATCAACAGGAGGTTTCCTTTCCCATGCTGTTTGACCTGATACAGGGCAGTAGCAGTAGCTACCATTGGTGCAGATTGGACTACAGAGCTTCTGGTCAATCCAGTTGGCTGGCAGCTCTCTAAGGTAGTACATCCTCCCAAGAAAGGGACAAAAGCCTTCCCTTGAAATACCTAACACCACTCTCAGCGGTAAATAGCTGTGAGGCAACCGTCAAGATCATGGATGGAAACAAAAACAGAAATTGCTGGAAAAAACTCAGCAGGTCTGGCAGCATCTGTGAAAAGAAATCAGAGTTAACATTTCGGGTCCAGTGACCCTTCCTCAGAAAATATAATGTCAGGGGTTTATGACCCTCAAAGATTGATTGAAACTCTTCCAACTGATTTCTGGAGAAAAGCGATGACTTTTATTTTATCTGCCTGAGTGGATTCAACCGTGATCATAAGAAAAGACTGTGTTCAGGAGGTACAGGAAAATCCTTGGCACCATCCAGAACCTCAATATCAATTAAAATGACTACACAATGCTTCTGAATCGCAATTAAGCTTATGCTTTAAGGGAGACAGACTAGTTCTAAAATACTTTTATTTAAGGCATAATATTATTTCAATATTTAATTCTGGCAAAACTAATTATTGTACCAGTTATGTAAGGAAAAACAGCTTTCAAAATGCAAACAGTTTTTGTTGGCATACAATGATCATCATATACTTCTGGCTGCAATCATGTATTTTTTTCCTCCATCAAATAAGGACAGTCATTACTAGGAAAAAAAGACTCTTCATGTTGTCAACAGTGACATATAATTAAACAGCTTTTGCCAATATTACTACAATTACAGGGAAATTATAAATTCCGATATAAGATTCCTAATTTAGTTGCCCTTTATGGCTTTTTTTAAAAAAATCATAGGATCCCTACAGTGTGGAAACAGGCCATTCGGCCCAACAAGTGCACACCACCCCTCCGAACAGCACCCCACCCAGACCCATCCCCCTACCCTTTACCTGTAACCCTGCATTTCCCATGTTTAATCCACCTAACTTGCACACTGCTGGACACTACAGGCAATTTAGCATGGCCATTCCACCTAACCTACACATCTTTGAACTGTGGAAGGAAACTGGAGCACCCAGTGGAAATCCACGCAGACACGGGGAGAATGTGCAAACTCCACACAGACAGTCGCCCAAGGGTGGAATTGAACCCGGGTCCCTGGAGCTTTGAGGCAGCGGTGACCAAGAGACCATGACAGTTTTCCAAATTCTATCAGTAATGGTTACTGCAGGCAATCCCAGGCAAGTGAAATAAAATGTAACTGTACCATTTAGAGAGTCAGAATTAGAAGACAACGGATGTCCTCCTGGACAGTTGAGAACAGACTGTTGTCTACAGTACAGTATGTTGCTTCTGTTTCAATGAAGGGCACCAAATGAGCAGGAAAGGATGTAATTTGATGGACAGAGGCCTTGGCAGCATACTGTTGTAACCTGGCTAGGTCTCTGTGTATCATTTCCGTTGCTTGAGTTGATGTATACATTTGGAATTATGGTCAAAGATTTCAAAATAATGAAGTTCTAATGAAAGGTCAAGCATGCTATCAACTAAGTCGACATAGATCAAAACTTAAATCAGAGAATGATGACTTAGTAATATATCAAGTATGTGGAAATAAATATCAAGTTATAAAGGAAACTTTTTGTCCTTTAGGATGTATTTTTGCAATTGTATTTTTGTATGTACATGTGTTAACAAGCTAATAACTGGCTCGAAAGTAGAATACAGAGGTGGAGGGTTGCTTTTCAGACTGGAGGCCTGTGACCAGCGGTGTGCCAAAAGGATTGGTGCCGGGTCCACTGCTTTTCATCATTTATATAACTGATTCAGATGTGAACACGTGAGCTAACATAAGTTTGCAGATGACACCAAAATTGGAGGTGGAGTGTACAGCGAAGAAGGTTACCCCAGAGTACAACAGGATCTTGATCAGATGGGCCAGTGGGCCGAGGAGTGGCAGATGGAGTTTAGTTTAGATAAATGTGAGGTGCTGCATTTTGGAAAGGCAAATCAGGGCAGGACTTATACTCTTAATGGTAAGTCCTGGGGAGTGTTGTTGGACAAAGAGACCTTGGAGTGTAGGTTCATAGTTCCTTGAAAGTGGAATCCCAGGTAGACAGGATAGTGAAGAAGGTGTTTGGTACGCTTGCCTTTATTGGTCAGTGCATTGAGTATAGGAGTTGGGAGGTCACGTAGTAGCTGTACCAGACATTGGTTGGGCCACTTTTGGAATTCTGCATGCAATTCTGGTCTCCCTGCTACAGGAAGGATGTTGTGAATCTTGAAAAAGTACAGAAAAGCTTTACAAGGATGATGTAGGGGTTGAAGGGTTTGAGCTATAGTGAGAAGCTGGATAGGCTGGGTCTATTTTCCCTGGAGAGTTGGAGGCTGAGGGGTGACCTTATGGAGGGTCATAAAATCACAAGGGGCATGGGTAGGGTGAATAGCCAATTCTTTGCCCTGGGGTGGGGGAGTGTAAGCCTCGAGGGCATAGATTTAAAGTGAGAGAGGAAAGATTTAAAAGGTACCTAAGGGGCAACTTTTTCATGCAGAGGGTGGTGCGTGAATGGAATGAGATGCCAGAGGAAATGGTAGAGACTGGGACAATTACAACATTTAAAAGGCATCTGGATGGGGATATGAATAGGAAGGGTTTTGAGGGATATGGGCCAAATGCTGGCAAAATGGGAACTAGATTAATTTAGGTAATCTGATCAGCATGGATGAGTTGGACTGAATGGGCTGTTTCCGTGCTGTACAACTCTATGACTCTCTAACTAGTGTCAATTAACCTTGACTTATATTTCAACCTGGAAAACACTCTTTTCACACATTTCTCACAACATTTCAAACACTGATTGAAGGTCAAGGTTCAAATTTTTTTTCAAAAGTTCTTATGTCAGATTTGCCACATGCTTAAGACAAATTCTTATATTCTACTTTCACAAGAAAAGTCATTGGATTCTAACATTGATAATAAGAGGTTAGCCAGTCTATCTTTATGTCACCTTGTCTTCTGCTGTGGTTCGGAGTTTGGGTGCTAGATGAAACCAGACACTTGCAGATCTTTGTTGCTGTATGGTGATATCAGTTTGGATAAAGCTGACTAAACCGAGTGAAATCTGCATTTGGTCGGTTTAGGACTAATGAACAAGTATCTACATCAGGAAACTGAGACACATATACTTTAACTAGTTTGTGTACTGTAAATAATGTTTTACCCTTCAACAAACGTATCAAGTTTTCCGAGTTCATCTGAGAGGCCAACCAAAGAGTCTAACGTCCCCACCTAAGAGAAAATGGAGAACATCATGACGTTTGTAGCTTGTAATAATTAAACTATTTGAAGCACTGAAATAAAACATCCAAATTAAATCACTTGATTGGACTTATTCAAAAATATGTAATCAAATTGTTTTATATAATGAAAAATTTAGAACGTGGAAATAAAGTAAGGTGTCAGTTCCATGGTAAAAGACAAAATGTAATCGAGCTAAAATAACCATGGTCCATAAGATACTGAAGTATTTGATAAACTGCATCCCTATTACTTTGCCTTCACATATCTGCTAAAAAGTCCAAAGTCTATAACTTCCAGTTTAAATGTTTCTGGACAGGTAGTTTTGAAGAGAGGCAATGGACTGAAACAGAAATTACCTTGAGTTCAGGGATAAGAAATTTATAATTATTTGATAAACTGGCTTTTTCAGTTACAGTGTTCATTCTTTCCCATATTTGTTGGTTCGATTTGTCAACAGGGGCCGAAATTAACCAGTATTCGCTCATGTTGTCCTGTGACGCTTAGAACGCACTGCGCCTGCTGTGTGTAAAAAAAAGTTTTAGAAAAATAAGCGGTCAAGGTGAAATAACCTCAAAAACATCATCACCTATGTACAAACTATTTATGATTCAAAATGGAGTGCTAATTAATTGTTCGAACTAGTAGACTAGATAGGGGTTTTAACAGACCCTTGACTAATAATCTTGGAATAGGGAAAAAGAGATCTTTCTACCCCGAATTCGTAGAATTTATGACACGATCCATTGTGGGGTTATTTGATCGGTAACACAGGAGTCGTTTGCGACTGATTTCACTACCTATGAATCCACATATCTTGATCGGACACCATTGTATCATAAACTGACAAAGCATCGCAACATGCAGGCATTTAAAAGATCACAAAAGGGCTCTCCCCACTTCGGCTTTTAAAGTCCACGGTAAATAACACGGCAGGCAGACTACCTGTGCGCATATTCACGAGTCTAAACAGTTAACTTTACAATTAATTACAGTTATTTCCAAAACGAAAAACTTCACTAAACATATTTTATGCACCTCATCAAAAAGAACAGACCATGTCTTTTAGAAAGCGGAACGATCGTGGTCATAGTTAGCCAAATAAGCTCACCTTTCACAGCTCTTGTTTTTGCTGGGCACTTGATTTTTTTTAAAGGAATTTCTGCTTTGGCTGAAAGAATTCGGGTACTGTATTCGTTATTTAAGATTTAAGCAAGTTAAAACTAGACAGATTACGTCCTGCCGACACAAATCAATTGCTGTATTACATACATACATATTTTTTGAAATGGATTGTGAAATAAAAGAAACGTCATTTACGTTACCTCAGAAATACTGGACTTGGTAGTGCCCTGAAGATTGAAAGAAATCTCTTCGCCACTCAGTTTTGCAATTCACTTGTCATTTCGTTCAGTTTTCGCAAACTTGCTACAAATCAAAGTTCTGGTGTATCACTGTGTGGACGAATGAAAGTCGCTGTGCTTCTTGTTGAAGAATGTTCTTGCAGCTATGCCCGCTACCTCCTGGCTCTGGAACCTGAACTTCGATACAACAATAAAATTGTTACAGGTGAAGGCAAGAGGCTCCGCTCCTTGTGCGCAGAACCGACTGCGCAGTGGCACCTACTTTACATAATAACCCACACCCCGTCTTCCTTCTCCTCCCCACCCCCTGAAGGCTGGGCCGCGGCCCGTGAAACGTCATTTCCGGTCGGTCTCCGAACTCCTGGCTCTGGATTGGTTGAGGGACGGGGGGGGGGGTTGAACGGAAGGGTAATCCCTTCCCCCTCCCCTTCCCCTTCCACATGATCGGTGGCGGAGCGTGGTGCGATCGATTTGTGAATGAGCGGCCGGTGACGAGATGCAGGTCTCGAGTGTGAATGACGTGAAGATTTACAACCTGAGTTACGGCAAGTCGCTGCCGGAGGTGAGAGGGAGTGACGGTTGGGCTGGCGCGTGGTAAGTGGGTCCCGGTCGCGAGCCCCCCCCCCAAACAGGTTATAACGGCATCAGCCCTTTCAGAGTCTTTACAGAGGCCTTACAATGTCCGGTGCCAATCTCCGTCTACGCCAAGGTAACACTGTGTGGAGCTGGAGGAACGCAGCATTTGCTCCGGTCCCGTTTTCCACCCATCTGCTGTGACACCTCAACTGATGGTCTAATGTCTTCAGCATCTCTGCCACTCTTTTTATTTAAGCAGTAAGTTCCAAATGGCCCACGCCCCAGGTGGAGGCATTTTTCGTCAAATTGCTCCCACCCTCTAAGCCGCCTCCTCTTCACCTTGATACTGTACCCCCGCCCCCCTCCCCGGAATAGGTCTCAGGTTTTTGGAAAAATAGAGGTTAGAAGGGCATTTCTCTTCTTGTTGTTGTTTGTCTCATTCGTGTGGGCAAAGACGGTTACGGTGTGCAGCTTGGCTTCAAGGATGGCCACTGAATGTGAACCTGAAAATCCTCCTTTCCACGATGAAAACAGTGTCAGTAGAAACAGGAACAGGCCATTCAAACCTGCTGCACCATTCAGTATGATCACGGCTGATCATCCAACCCTGTTGCTGCTTTCTCCCCATATCCTTTGATCCTGTTAACCCCAAGAGCTATATGGAAACGTAGCTTGAAAACATCCAATGTTTTGGTCTCAACCACGTTCTATGGTGGAAAATTCCACAGGCTCGCCACTCGGGGTGAAGAGATTTCTTTTAATCTCAGTTGTAAATGACCTACCCTATATCTTTAAACTATGAATCCTGGTTCTACGTTCCCTGGTCATTGGGAACATTCTTCCAGTCTGTATCCTGTCTAGTACTTTTAATATTAGAAGTTTCCATGATATGCCCCTCATTCATCTAAACTCCAGTGAATATAATTCTTATCAATTCAGTCTCTTTCCATAAGACCTGCCATCCCAAGAGTCAGTCTAGTAAACCTTTGTTGCACTGCTTCTGTAACTAGAACATCCATCCTCAGATAAGAAGACTAAAACTGTGCACAATGCTGCAGGTGTGGTCTCACCAAGGTCCTGTACAATTGCAACAAGACATCCCTGCTCCTGTACTCAAATCCTCTTGCCATGAAGGCCAACATACCATTTACCACTTTCACAATCTGCTGCACATGCATGCTTAGTTTCAGTGACTGGTGTACACGGACACCCAGGTTATGTTGCACCTCTCCTATTCCCTATCACTACTCAGATAATTTACCTTCCTGTTTTTGCTACCAAAGTAGAGAGCCTAACATCTGCATTATACTTCACCTGCCATGCATTTGCCCACTCGTTCAACTTGTTCAATTCTCACTGAAGCATCTCCACATCCTCCTCACAGTTCACCCTCCCAGCATCGTGTTGTATGGAAACTTGAAGATTTTACATGTATTAATGATTTAGATGAGAAAACTATATATTTTGAATAGTTGGGATCTAAGCACTGACCCTGTGGTACCCCACTAATCACTGGCTGACACTTGGAAAAAGATCTGTTTATTTCTGTTCTGTTTCCTGTCTGGCAATTAGTTCTGTACCCATGTCAGTACACTGCTCCCAATCCCATGCATGATTAATTTTGCATATTAATCTGTTACGTGGGACCTTAGCACAAAGTCTTCTGAAACTTTAGGAGGAGCAGTGGATGCGGTTCATTTAATCAACTCTACTAGTTACATCCTTAAAAAAAGTTCCAGTAGATTTTTCATGTGTGAATTCCCTTTCATAAATCGATGCTGATTCTGTCTGATCCGATTGCTGTTTTTTTGAGTATTCTGCTTTAAAGCTTTTGCAATAGACTCTAGCATGTCCCCCACTGCTGATGCCAGGGTAACCAGTCTCTAATTCCCTGTTTTCTCTGTACCTCCATTTTTAAACAGGGGAATTATATTAGCTACCCTCCAATCCATAGAAGCTGTTCCAGTGTGTTTCGTATCTTGAAAGAGGGCCATCAGTACATCCACTGTATCTACAGCAACTTCCTGGAATGTAGGTTATCAGACCCTTGGGGGTTTATTGACCTTTAATCCCATTAATTTCCCCAAAACTATTTCCTTCATAATACTGACTTCCATCAGTTTTTCCGTCACTAGATCCAACATTTTTGGGTGTTATTTGTGTAGAATTGGAAAGCAGAAAAGTTGTTAAACTTGTATAGAACTGTCTATACTTGGAGGATTGAATGGCCATATCCTTGCATCTCTATACGCTTAAGAGACTTCGATCGACCTAGAACAGTCAGCTCACATGATTGAAGTGGTGTCTTTGCAAGGTCTTCCAAATCTGGTGGCAAGAAAAGAGTTCTAACGGCAGCATCTTTTTTATTCAAACACAGCGCCATTGGGTGGCAAGTGTAAGTTGTATATCTGAACATGAAACTGGCAAAACAACAGTTGTACGTGGAACACAATAACAGCTGCAGACACCTAGGGGTGGGTGGTGAAAACTCTTTAGATAGTCCTCAAAGCACCGTTGAAGAGATTACACAGACCTGCTGATATGATTGACCAAAATGTGAAAGCTCATTCAGGAATGCACTGGATACGTCAAGACATTTTGGGAACATGCAAAGCTGAAGTTGCGATACCGGAGTGAACGCGCAAACCTCCAAAAAGTGCATCCACCCAACCCTTAAATGCACCACCTTTCCTGCATGTAGTAGAGTCTGTGGATCTTGCACTGAATTTAAGCCATTTCATAACCTGTTGAATGAGAATGATAGCAACTCATCTTAGATCATGACGGATTGCCTCAAAAAGATAGAATGTTTACTCAACAGAAGGAAGCTGTTCAATTTGTCAACCCTGTGCCAAATCTCTGCAAAATTAAGTTACCAAATCTTGCTTTCCTGTCCTTTTTCAATTTGCTGCTGTGTTCTGATCCTTGTCCAATTTCTATTTGAAATCCTGATTGAAACCGTCTCGAGCACCCTCTTGGTCAGTCCATTCTGGATCCTTACCACCTGTTGCATAAGAGTTTTCTCAATAGCAGTTATTTTTCCCCATCATCTAGAATTGGCATCCTTTGCTTCTCAGTCCTTACATGAATGGGATCAATTTCTCTCTGTCTATTTTTTCCGGACCCTCTGTGATTTCTGTCTTGTTCTTTTCTGTATGATACCAAACCCAGCTTCTCCAAGTAACTGAAATCCCTCAATCCTGCAATCTTTCTCAAAAGAATCATTGTACCTCACTTAAGCCTTTACATCCTTCCTAAAACATGATGCTTAGAGGTAGATACAGTATTCCAGTTGAGGTAAAAGCAGTATTTTCTAAAGGGTCTTCATAACTTCCTTGTATTTGCTTCAGAATCCTGTATACGTTATAAATTATTTTTCACAACTTACTCTGACAATGCCAACAAGGTATGGACATATGCCTCCAGGTCTGCTTAATCGCTTTGAGAATTGTACCCTTTAGTTGATATTGCCTGTCCTACCAAAATATGGCACTTCACTCTATATTAAGTTGCTTTTGCCACATGGTGCCCCATTCCATCTTCTGTCCTTCCAATCTTTCACTCCACATCCAAGTTTTGTCATCTGCATATTTTGCAATATTGCTGTATGCACCCAAATCTAGGTCATCATATCTTGTGTGTAATGATTCCTGGTGATGGCGTTACTCTAAATCAGATCGATAAGTGCAATCTGGCTTGAAAGATTTTTTTTTGGAGATCCATTGCTGAACATATTTACAAGGGGCTGCCAAGCTTTTATGAGTAAGAGTGGTTTCCTTTTGGCAATTTTTCTGTATGTTTATTCACTGCCATTTTTTTTGTTTTAATGGTGAGACACATTTACCAATCACTTAAACTGCTAACTCAGCATACATTTAACATGAGTTCCATAAACTTCTTTTTCAACCTTGTAGGATGTCTTTCTCTCTAATCCCTACATGACTTCTGCTACTAGAGCTTTCTTCTCCCTCATTTCTGAGTAATTGTAGACTTTTCCCCAGCCTTGAATGCTTGGAGACCGCTAACAGTATTACTGCTGCAACGGGTCACTTCTTCCCCTCTGGCTTCTAGCCTCCCTCTATCTGGATTGGAATACTCAAGGCAGGAAGCGCCTTCTCAAATGGGGGAAACCTGATAAGGCCTTTTAGGATTATGAAATTGTATAATAGAGTAAATGCAAATATGTTTGCACTCCTGGTTACAATAATAAGAGGCCTTAAATAGACTTCAATAGTCAATAGACTTCAGGAGAATGGTTAGAATGTGGGATTTCTTATTGCATTGAATACTTGTAAATGGTGGAGCTGCATTTAAAAGGAAACTAGAAAAACACAAGGTTGAATGAATGTTACTGGGATTAAATGAAGATGAAATGAAGTAACCCATGGAGTGCAGAAGCACATTTTTGACCTGTTGGGAGAAATAGCCTATATGCAATCATGCTGCGCCAGCATTATCTCCAGTCGCGGAAGGATGCAGAGGGTTTAGGTAGCAAGATGTCCTTCAAGGTTGAAAACTGAGTTTATGGAATTCGTGTTAAATGTGAGCTCAGTTAGCAATTTATTTTAATGGGGAGAGACATTAACTAAAGCAAATCGCATTGAAGAAATGCACAGAAAAGTTGCCAAATAGAAATTGATTACACTTGTACCAGCTCATCAAAAGCTTCTGCGTG